AGTAGTAGTCAGTAGTAGTAGTAGGAGGAGCAGCAGCAGCAGGAGAGGGAGGAGGAGGAGGAGAAGGAGGAGGAGGAGGAGTAGTAGTAGTAGTAGTAGTGGTAGTAGTAGTGGTAGTGATAGCAGTAGCAGCAGCAACAGGAGTAGCAGGTGGTGATGTTCGAGGAAGTTTGTGTAGAAGTAGAGGACACGCAAACACGGCATCCACAGGAGGACTGCATGTCGTGCGGCCCGGTGTAGGTGGGACAAGGAAATGGGTCTCACAGTCGTGGAAGCCCCTTGTCTGCAATTAGTTTGAGAATACTCGTCTGCGCCACAAGGACCACGAAGCGAACGAAATGCTAGCCGATCCTCCTGACGAATGCATAGCCCAGGTGCTGCCACGGATGTTTCCCCTGCGAATAGGCCCGTCGTCTGAGGGAGCACGGGGGATCATTAGTTTTAGGGTACAGGTGGCTAACTGAAGCGCTGACGTTGCAGACATATGCGAAGTCTTGGGACAGACGTCGCCCACAGCTGTTACTGTTGCGCTGCTGGTGCAGGCGAAGGGAACTACAAGACGCAGGGCAAGGCCGGCATTGTGTCTAGCCTTCTTCAAAAACGTCATGGCGGGTTTTGAAATGGGACGTGGCCTCAAACCTCTCTCCCAATGCTTACCAAGGCCCTCAGTCAGAGTGGTGTGCAAGCAGGTCAAGCATGTTCAAGCAGTGCTGTAGCTGATGCTTACATGCTGCTGCCATGTGCTGGACCTTCGAAGTCACCTTGGCAGCAGCTTCCCTGGAAACTTTGTGTCTCCTTGTGCTGTGCTGGCGTGGGTTGCGGTACGACCGGCCCAATGCATCTCTGATTCTCCCGCTGGTTCTGCAGGAATGGCTGCAGGTTGTGTTGTGGGCACACATAGGCTCCTCTTCTACGGAGTGTGATGAGACGAACCAGACCGTCTCAATCGCGATTGCCTGTTTGGTGTGCGCGGTGCCTGCATGGATGTGCACTCAGCCACTGCTGTGCCCTGTGGATGTCACTCCGGAGCTTCGGCAGTCGGCGAGGGCGTTTTTGTGCTTTGCTCTCCTGTGCGGGGTGAGTGGCGTGCTGGTGCAAGTCGTTGGCCGGACATTGGGTTGGATGACGTCGATCTGCACTTATGCCGGACCCTGGCACCACCAGATATGGCCGGTGATGAATATCCAGTACAATTTCCTTCCAGGCTTAATGGGAAGTCTTCTTGGCCGAGCTCTGTCTTCTATGAACCTCATGCTGTATTTCGCCGCCAGTATAGGTGGCTTCATGTCCTACCGCCCTTCCTATGTGCTGCCTGTCTTAGCATGCATCGGGTTGAACGCATCGATGCTAGTTTTGGTCTTGGGAAGGGAGTGGGGCTCCTTCTGGTGCTTCCAGGCCTCACTGCTGGGGCTCGTGGCCATACTTGAGCCCTGGCTCTTCGAGCACTTTGGTGAGTACCGCTTCTTTGGCGATGCCAAGGCCAAAGCCTCGCCCGACAAGCTCGAGGCTGAAGCCATTGGTGCCCCAGAGTCCGAGGTTGATTCGCTGGTGGCCTGAGCCATGCAGTGGGCCACGCAGGCTCAGACCCCGACTGCGAACTCGCGAACAGGGGCCGACGAACGCCTTGTCGGATGGTGCGCACATCTCGCCATGATCCCAATCCGCCAAAGGCAGTTCGCCGCGTGGAGTTTCAAAGAGGACCAGTCGCAGCCGAGGCGAAACCATTTCACTCCCAACGCAAGGTCAGACTAAAGCTTCGTAGAAGTCCAGCAGCCACGATGTGGACCGAAATTAGGCTTGTACTTGAGGCAGCGTCTCCGCTTCAGAAGCATGAGACGGAGAGTGCGTGGATCTTCGGCAAGGCATCTGCGCACCAAAGAAGCGTGCCCAGCGACTGGAATGGCCAATCCTGCGTGGTCAGCTCTGCGAGCGCTCTCGAGTCTGAAGAGGAGGTCTTCCAAGACGTCAGCGTCTGCCTGGTCCGCAACAATGCGCTCCTCCCATCTTCGAAGACTAGGTTTTCAGATCGTGCCCTTCAAACACACAGAAATCCTCCAGCATCGGCTAAGATCACTGCTAAGATCTCCACGTCTGGGTTTTTTCGACTGGACGACTTGACCAAAACTTGTGTTCGGCCCGTGGTCGACAGAAGAAGCAGGCAAGAAAGACAAGACTTGAGGTGAGATTTTGTGCTGAGCCCTTCTGAACTGATCGAAGCCTGACCTCGAATCTCTGTTGTTCTGCCAGGCCTGCAACCAGATGAACGCTCTCTGGTTTGCGGCGGGTCACCGAATTCAGGCCCCAATCATTCTGGGTGTGTCGATCCGCCAGAGGGCTTCGTGGATCCCCCAAAAAGCAGCGAAGTTTGAAAATCTCAGAGCTCTTGCCATAGTCGCCATAGCCTTCTCTCGTGGGGTTCCCAGCCTCCGAATTCCTCGGCTCGCCCCTGGCTCTCCAGGCCCTGGACTGCAACATGGGCGCCTTCATCGGCGAGGCTTTCAAGGCTTCGGAGTTCCAGGGAGCTTCTAAAAAGAAAGCAAAGGAGACAAGCTGTTCTGACCATGGATCGTCCGGCAGCTCACAATTTTGACCGATGTGCCAGATTCCATATGTGCTTCGGCGGTTTCTGCCCCTGGGCCAGAAGAACCGTGCACGACCCAGTTTGTGCTTGACTCTCTTCGGCTGGCTTCGAGATTCGTTATGGGGATATCTAGCACAGAGGGAAGGAAGCATATCTTGAACCTAGACCCCCTTTTTCCGCCACTCCTCTGCCTTCATCGGTACAAGAAGCTCGGAAGTAAGGTGTGGCTGCTCGCTGTCGCTACCTGGGATTCCGGGAGTATATCTACACCGGCCGAGAGGGGACAGCTGGGGACCTAGATGTCTCGCTGCATCGATCTTCGGCAGCTCAGAACCGCTGGAGACGGCTAAGTCCATGCATCTATTCGAATGTATTCAAGGTCACCTTTCACAGAATCATGCTCTGACCGAAGGTGGGCAAATGCCATGCAGCCGCGGAGTGGACCTTTGGTACCATCTACCAGCGATTTCTGAGCGGTGCCTTGGCGAGACAGGGTATTGGCAGCAACCTGGTATTGCACCCTGCGTCTTGCTCGCACCGCAAAGGTTAGCACATGTAAGCTTGCAGTCTCTAGAAACATACGTGAGACGAAACTTCATTGTTGAATTTCAGTCATTGTGCACCTCCAGACGGCAGAAGCCAATTCACTCAGCGACACGGAGTCAGAACGCGCAGACCACCAACGACGGCAAAGCAGCAGCTTGCACCATTGTTTGGTCATAGTTGGACCGACTGGTGCGTACCTTGAAGTTCTTAGCTGTGAGGTGATTCAGGTCCGACTTCGGCAAGAAGTGGAGGCATTAAGACTCGACCTGTGACTGCAAATCTGTGTGAGGCATGGGCATCCGAATGCACTACGGTCATCCAGATTTTGTTTGCGCCTTTTGGGCGCGAAATCGAGGTGGAATGAGCCCATCCGTCGCGCTTGGGGGGGCAAGGGTTAACAAAGAGGACTGCTCCTTTCAAATGCAGTGCTTCCGCCAGGTAAAGGCTCTGCCGTTGTAAACCTCAGCGAGGACATTTTTGCAGGCCGGGCGTCTCTGAAAGATGAAGCCAATGTGGAGGCTGAGAGCTTTGAGATGTAGCTGGTGATGTCGGCCTTGGTCATAACTTTTTGGGAGCAAATGCATGTCCATGTGCATCAATCCGGCTGCGAGGGCACATCTCTACCTCTGACCTGCGAACAACTCGCCAGCGATTTGAAGGTTACAACCTCCACATGCGCGCCGAAGCGTCGCCGCACGTGGACGTGTTGGAGTTCGAGAAGGGGCGCGAGGTGGATCAGTACTTCGGTCACTTCGATTCCTGTTTCGAGTGCATTGACTCTTTAAGTAAGATACGAGGGATCAGGGCTCATACGCCGCCTTTCGGGCCCGGTGAGAGTAACTGCAGTCATGATCTGACTCTCAGCTTCAGAAAGTGTAAATCGTAAAGGCCGCTTTCAACGCTGCGCCGGGCGCTCGGACGAAAACTACATCCTAGGCACTGGCCAAAATCCTTGTGGTAAGAGCACGTTGAAACATCTTGCATGCTGCCTGGAAGTCGACCAACAAAGCCAAGTTTAGACGGAGACACTGCCCGGTACTAAAGAATCAAGAGCTGTCAATGTCTGACCGTTGAATCAACGACACCGCACCGCGGCTCCCAATTTCTTCAGCCCTCCGATTCGGTTCATCGGCAGATTCAAGAATTTCAGTAGCCACTTTCCAACAAACGAAGCCATGTTAGACATAATGCATTGCCAGCCCCCTTCTGCAGAAAGAGTTCCCAATCAACCTACAAGGTCGCTCTTCTTCTCGAAGATTTCCGCGGGAAGCGTGGGCATAATTCGTTCTCGAGACAATCACCTGCTATGCGAAAGGCCGGCCTTGCTGAACCCATGTGGGGCTTTTTCGGCTCTGAAGCTGCTTCCTGCTTGAACGTATGGCATCAATGAGTCATTGAGAAAAAAGAGCTTCAAGGCCAAGGTTTTGTTGGCAGTCTTCAGCTGAGCTGGGGATGCTTGAAGTTGGGGCTTAGATGCAGACAGGTCTGGATAAACGTTGCGAGAAGCTCTGTTGCAGGATTGGTGTTCTTCATTCTTTATCGTTCTACTTCACCTCCGTAGCATTCTACGTGCCTTGGCAGCAAGTGCAGCATGGAGCTTGCACACGTGACATCAGTCACCATCTGCAGCCAGGGGGGAAGGCCTCGTTGCCTTGCAATGCAAGGTTTTGGCATGTGGGGGTTTGTGCTTCCGCCACATCAAACGAGGCTTCTTGATTTGAGAATCGCTTGTCTGTGTGGGCTGCAGATTTTTTTTATACGTGGCTTGCCGGGTGATGCTCATTGCTCAGATGTATGCTTCGAAGAGGGACTTCAGTGCTACACAAACCGGGAGTTAAGACGGTATTTCAAGGGCAGGGCTGGTGGAGGCTAAAAGCACCTGCTGAAACAGATCGAGATCTGCTCTCCATGGAAAATTTCTTCGAAGAATGTGGTAGAGGAAGTTTTGCGGCAGCACGCTCCCATGGAGTTCAATCCAGAATCCCGCAGTGAGATGAAGCGAGTTTCCTATCATACATGAGAGTTGCTTAACACAGACCCCTTCATCCCCCGTCCTTCCTTCGCATCAGGTTAGCAATCTCTTGATCGATTTCTCCATCACACTATACGCGCGGCGCTGTGTTTTCCATAGCCAGGCCCATCTTCTGGTTTCGAGTTACATTCTTGAGCTGGAGAGCCTGGCCCATTCTGTGTTCACAGCCTGCCGGCAGTGTGAGTTGCCTGGGCTCCTTGTCGTCACAAGGTCACACTTTTTATAGTCTTCACGCTAGTGCGCGCCTCAGCATGGGGACATCGTGCTGGATGCATGGGCTCGGATGCCAGCTTCAGCTGATTTCGTGAATGTGCAGAGCTGTCCATGCTTTCATATGCGTGGACACATTCGACACCAGCCCAAACTAAGTTGAAGTTTCTGTCTGCATGCTGCCTAGTGCTCTTTTCAGCAACCTCGACTCGTCCTACACCCAACAACCCTAAACCCTACACTTTACACCCTAGGTTCACCTCGCAGACCGAACCGGACTCCTGAAGGCCAACATTGACTTGACGAAGCTCTCGGCTTTGGGCTCCTCCTTCAATGGGGCCGTGGCCTTAGAATTCCGACAGAAGGACCGAGCCGTCTGTGGTCTTTAATTGAACTATGTCGTCGATCCGTTGGCAGAATGACGACGGAAACCTCACTTCCCAGCTTCCCCGCTTGAACTGCACAATGCTTGACCCTGCAGTCCTGGTGTGCTGGTAGCTCCAGTCCGGATTCTCTTCATTCTTTTTGTAGACGTTTTTCTCCGAGATTCGCTGTGCTCACCCCTCAGACTCATACTTGCCTAGCTGCAGATTGCATCGCTTTTTCCTGTGACGGCTGCTTGCTCTTCCGCCGGATGCCTCGCACAACGACAGTTTTGCAAGAGTTGGGTCGTGTTGTTTCTGTGCGTGTTTTGCATTTCAACTTCGGAGGGTACCGGGCCAGTTCCTCTTTGCTGATGTCATGCTGAGAACCGTCAATGTGCAAACTAGATGCAAAACGAAGCACTGTGCAAGCCCTGGGTGGGCCCTCTGTTCACTCTTACGGCAGTTTCGTGCCTCACTGTCGTGATGATGCGTACATGACTTGAAGAGATGCAGATACGCAATCCTATCCATTGCTTGAAGCTACGGCCAGATGAGTAAGAGTGGTAGTCGTGAGTCATTGTTACATACATGGTCGCTTGCCAAGTGCAGAGTATAACCCAAATGTTCGCGAGCTACCGCTGGCCGCATGCTCTGAAGCTCCTGCCCATCTGCGTGTCGAGTACATGCACGATGGGACACGCTTTTGATGTTCTGGAGCCATGAGCACGGATCGCGTGACGATGCAAAGCTTTTCCTAGGGAGGGGATGGGAGGGGTGTTTGGCACCTAGAGCCACCGTATGCCAGCGTCACGACAGCCGTGGCGGTAGCGCAATTAGAGCAACCTGTGTCCGTTCTCCGGCAAAGGAGTGGCTGTTGTCGCTGGGCATCATGAGCCTGGGCCTCAAAGCCTGCTAGGGGAGATGGTGGCTGTCTGTGCGGGTGTGAGTTGGATTGGCTCTTGGAGGTCTCGTCCCGCAGTTTTGCGAGATGATCCTCGAGCAGATGCCTTGGCTAGGGATCTGCGTTTCTCTAGGCTGGCACATGTCTTGACTTCTCTCTGAGCCTCGTTTCGGGTCTGCGACCTGCAGGTAATTCAGAGAAGAGAAGTTTCAGAGCGGGGGGAGTGTGTGTGCAACCAAAACCCGGTCTATTTGCCAGCTGAAGCTGTGTATTGTAACACAAACCCACAACCTAGGCGGCAAATACATATTGTTTTAGGTTCTAGGGGGTCGCAGGAGGAGAATTAAATGATCTAAATCCGGAGGACTCCTCCAGATGTGATCATTTAGATTACTTAATTCCCGGCCCGAATCAAATCATGCAAATCATGTAACTGGTTTTAGGTGCAAAGAGAGAGGTTGGAGTCAGGGCGGGCAGCATTGGCAGGTCATGGTTCTCCAGGATTTCAATTTTTCGGGAGCACTTGCCGAGGTTTGGAGCCAACCGAGCATGCAGGGAGGTCTTCGGCGGCCTGCCGGTTCGCACCTTTGGGAATGTGAGCGGTGGGACTCTGACCGGAACGTTTCCGCGTCGCCAGAGCGAGTAAAATTCCAGTTGTGAGGCTTTGACTCATGCCGAACTACTGGATTTCGCACCCAGGCATCGACGATGTTCTTCATTTTCCAAAACAAAAGCATCGCCGCGGCTTGGGCCTCGAAGTGTGAAGCACTACCCCAACTCTGCCAAATTCAGTGAGTCCGGGCTTCAATGCCGGTGCAGTTCCCTTTTCCGGCTGCCAGGCCATGCGCGCTGGCGCCATCTCCGGACTCGCAAGGCATGATGAGCTCCAAGAAGCTTCAGCTGGCTAGACTGCACTACTCATTGGCCCAGCCTCGAGGTATGCAGGGACTGGGCGACCTTTGGCGAACCTCCACCAGACTTGGAAGGACGCGCTTTAAAATAGAAGCTGTGCCTAGGCTTCCGCCACAGTTGAACAACGTCCAACATTCCTAGCGGATCCTGGTGGCCAGCGGCAGACAAGCCTCTGACTGCCGCTGCCAACCTGCTGGTCCCAATGCAGCTCGGCTGGTGCACTCGTGTCCTCCACTTGTTCCGAAAGAAAAGAGAGTGATGCTTGCATTGTGGCGGCTTTGTCCGGACCCATCACTTCGTGGTCATGATTTTGTCCGGAACGATGAAGGATGTTGCGATAAATCCGGCATCCTTGCCATGCAACGCTGTACGCATGTCCAGGGGACCGGAGGCGAAGCTGTGGGCACTGAGAGCGATTGAGCCACGGCAGTGGCACATGAACGGTTTTTTGACGAAATGGTCGCAGGACAACTACTGCAACTACTTCAAGTCGCACTACACACCCTCGATCCGTGCAGACCCTGGTGCAAAGTCAAGGTTTTGCCAACTCTGTCTCCTGTTGGAGAGGCAATTGAAGTCTATGAACTCCTGTTGTTGTTCAAGCAGTGTGTAGTTCCAGTGCTGGGCTTGTTGAAGCCTGCAGCTGCATTTTCACCGTTGTCCTACAATACAACTTGGGCGACTTCAATCCAGCACAGCATGCTGTATGCAAAGTTGATTCACCGAAACTCACAACTCCGTCCAGGTCTTATGGTGTTGTACATCGTTTACAACCTGCTCGCAAGCCAGACATTTCAGGCCAGACGACACTTATGACCTTAAGGATTTCTCGGCACGGCTGTTCCCTAAAAAAGCGTTTTGTGCTGCTTAGACTTCCTCCGGCAGCAGGCAGTTCTTTCATGTGTGTCGGGCACAAACATCGTTGTTACGGACAGTGTAGATTCACTTGTCCTGAAGTGGTTTGCTGATAGTAGGCTGACCTACACTCGCAATAGAAGTTTTACGGCTCATCGTTCGTTGTTATGCTAACGTCAGCCGAGTTTCTGTTCATTCGATGATCGGGACTCACCGTGATCGCAAAGGGCAAGAACCGGCACACTTCTAACTTCGGTTGGTCACCAGGATTCGCTGACACGTTGCGACATGTCTGAAGCCAGGGTCAGCTGCCAATGTTCTTGGTGGTTATCTCTTTCACATTCTGGGCCTCGATCTCAGCCTCTGCACGGCCTATATAGTCACATTCCGTGTGCGGAAGAGGGCGCCAAATTAGCAAAGCTCGAGCCGTATTAATTTCTGCGATCCTTATGTGATGCTTCAACCTGAGATCGTGACGCCCGTGATCTTTGCGCCGTTTGCGAGATGCACATTGATCACACAGGACTGTCATGTCTTTGAAGCTTGAAGTGGCCAACAAAAGTTTCCCCGCACGTCTAATTTGAGAAGAGTTGGTTTGCTCTGTCTGCCGATATGGCTTTGCTTGGAGGTGTGCCGAAGTGCCCAGGTCTGCAGGCTGAATTGAGGGCTTCTAGGAATTGAATGTAGCACAGCGTGATAGTGTCCAGCCATGGAAGGATTTGAGAAGAAGAGAAGGAGAGAGTGGACTGAAGGACCTGCGAGACTTCAACGGCTTCATCAATGGCTGGCTTCTGAGCTAAGCAGAGCAAGAAATCAGGACGAATATATACACCCGCCAACGTATGCCTAAATGCCAGAGTCCATCTCAAATCACCCTAGAGAGGAGCCTGGATGCAGGTCTGTACTCAAGCATGTAGTGGTGTTGTGTGGTCGAATCCCCATCGTAAGTGGCCCAGGCTCCTGTCCCCTGCCTCAACCATCATGGTATTCCGGAACCCTTATCAGGCGCAGGAAAAGAGGTGATAAAAAAACCTAAACCCTAAATGGATGAGTCTTGAGACATGGTTGGATGTGCCGATTTTGCTTTGTACCGGCCAGGTCGGAACTTCCTCGAAGATTCGTGTGTAGGGTTTGGAGTACGCGCTTGAAGGGCTAGTTTCCCTTCCGGCCCTAGGGTTTTGCGTGGCGGAAAATGCCCTAAACCCTAAACCCTGTCGGCGTAGTGGCAACATCATGATGCAGCGGGAGTGGATGCGGGGCCAAGTGGTGTACATGTTGGCTGAGTTCTAATGCTGATACTATAGTGTTGCAGTGAAGGAAGGCCCGCATCTTGTCGCTTGTCTGGCTGGAGCTTAGTGCAGTAGTATATGGGAAGCTAGGTGTAGGTGGTTGAATCCCCCTAGGTGAGTTGCTGAGCTCCAGGTCCAACGCCTCAACCAACATGGTATTCCAGACCCCCCAGGCGAAGGAAAAGAGGTGATAAAATAAAAAAACCTTCAACCCCAAACCCCTAACCCCTAACCCCTAAACCCTAAACCGCTAAACCCCTAAACCCCTAAACCCCTAAACCCCAAAACCCCTAAACCCCAAAACCTGTCACCGCTTCTGGGTTTAGGGGTGCAGTATGATCC